ATTTTATTTTATTTTATTTTATTTTATTTTATTTTATTTTATTTTATTTTAATAAATGAAATTTTGTTCAAGAATGACAATAGCAATGTTGGCGGGCCACTAGCAGAAAACCAAAAATGTGGGTTGAGGAAGTGTGGTTCGAATCCCTTGTGCACAAACTTAATGAAAGGTGTTCAAAATTGTGTGAACCAAACAATTCATTAGTTCAAAAGTTAATGGATTTGATCAATTTTCTCGAGTTTTTATTGAGTTTGACTTGTTTTGACCAGATCTCATTGCATATTGAGTTTATATCATGAGTCAAATCATTTTTATAATCAATTTTGGTTCAACCAATCTGGTCCAAGTTTTAAAACAATGATCTTACTGTTGCTATGGTTGTCAAGGAGATAATAAACCAAATTATTGCCAATCTTGAATTTCTAAAACAAGTGATATTAAAAAAATTATATATATATTTTTAGGGCATTAAAAGATAAAAAAAATTACAATTATAATTATAAATTAACATTGTTAAACTAAATCTCAGGCATAGACTTTCTTGAATCATTAATTTTAGAATACATTTAGTTTGAGAGGGAGGGGAGGAAAAGCAATTTCTCCATCTGTAATTTGATTACCCCAAAAAAATTAGAAATGAGAGAAGTTCTTTACTTTCTCTTTTTATCAGCTAAAACAAAGTAATTTATTAACTTATTAGGGTAGAAGGGATATTCTCATTATTGTCAAAATCACAAGTTATCTTGTAACCTCATACGATTTCATGTTTTTAGGGATCAAAAACAAGTCAAATCATCTATAAAATCAAGATTTTATGAACTTTCGATGGAGTCAGCATAAACTCGTAAACTCATTTGAAATCGGATGAACACACGAGTTTACCAAAATTGGACTTTTGCATTGGGTTTCAACGGATTGGCTTTGAAATTGCTGTCCATGCTTCCAATTTCAGGTGTAAACTTTCCTTTGCTTGATTTAGAAAATCTTATTGATGATCTATTTCCAAGAGGGGCAAAGAAAGAGGGCGAAAAGAAGCTTAAATGGAGCAAAAGTGGAAGAAATCCGTTGCCCAATAAAGGAACAGGGATGAAAGATTAAGCCAAGTAGAAGGGAAAGCGAAGAAGGGTAAAATTTATTGCTCAAAAAAAAAAAAAAAAAGAGTAGATAAAGATAAAGTTTAATTTTTAATTTTTTACATTACCATCTATTATAAATTTGTAATATTAAAATTTGATTTTTGTTAGAGTTATTGTAAACTTCAACTCCACATTTGATTCTTTATTGCTGAATTTTAGTTATATTAATATAAGAGTGTAAATTTTTATTTTTTTATTTATTAAATTTAATAAACTTTTGATTTTACCATTTCAATTTTTCAATTTTAATTTTATCTACCTAAACCTATTTTAGGTAAAATCTCAAATTTCACAACCTTGGTTATTCTAACTACCCTCGCAAATCATAAATACAGTCACAGTTCTCAGTCAAGACGACAATTACAAACTGAAACAGAATTCTGTTTGTCACTAAGTACTTCATCCATATAGCAACCGACGATGAGCTTAATTTCCATGCCTTTTAATGTATCATTATTGCTCCTTACACACTCTTTTGGTTGTTCATACTAGGGGGTCACAGTTTCGTTTCATTGTAACCACTATCAAATTATAGGTTAATTGAAAAAATGAGTATTGAGTTTTAATAACCATTAATCAAACCAGATGAAATGGGATTTATCGGTTTCAGTTATATTTTTTAAAATAACCATTTGTATTGATTTTAGTTTTAATCAAAAATTATTTTTATTTTTTAACAATTTAAAAAAAATAATTATTATTTTATTAATTTTAATTACTAAAAACTAAAAATTATCCCAATAAATAAATAATTTAGTAAAAACTAATTAAAAAACCTTAAAAATTAAAAATATTAAAAAATTATATAAAAACATAAGATACAGGAAACGGCTTAGTTTTATTTTCTTCTTCTGTAGACTTCCTGATGGCTGTACTGTGCTTTTGTGTTTTTGAATGATGTAGGTAAACTGTGTTATGTATCTTGATTTCACCGGACTGTATTCTGTTTTGGGAGTATTTCTTATGCTC